CGTCTGGCTGAGTTAACGAGATTTTTGTCGGAGTTCAAGAAAAAAGCTGATAAATAAAGCACTACTAACGACAATATCAGTAGCGCATCGGTTAGAATAATAACATGCGGTTGTCGATCAATGCGAAATTCCTCATCTGATGATGTGGATTGCGAAACACTGGCTTTTCCTTAGAAGTACAATTCGCATACGCAGCCAAATTGGGCCAAGGTCGCATTGCAAGATCAAGTCTAAACCGTATTCCAAATTGAAAACGAAACCGAGATTGTGAGTGAAATTTAACGCATTAATCAAACATTTTTCACTACTAAATAGAGTGTTAGGCGAAACTTGTAGACTTAGAAAAGTAAAATGCTCATGAAGGCCACACACAAAAATGTGAGGCAATTCCAGAAAGCAGGCAGAAAGGGAGGTAGAATGGCAGACAGACATGCGTGCGAACAGACGAACACAGACGGATAGACAAGCAAGCATGTGGATTAAAATAATATTTAAAGCGGATGCCACAAAGACAACCTGATTTACGGAAGGACAGGAAAGTACTGAGAAAGTAGGAAAACAATTGGGTTTCAAAGAGTTCCTTGCTAAGTTATTGCGACATGACTTTCCATTCCGAAGAAAAAGATGGTCGAAGGAAATTCGTGAAATGGTCTCATCCAAAAATGGAGTCAAGATTGCTGGATTGGCTCCCGGTACTGCGACTCAAATGAACCTGTCCCGTCGTGACAGACATCTTTAGAGCAGGAGTCCATACTTTACTAAAATAACGCAACACATGTACTAAATCACTTCTCTTGGTCTTGTTGTCATGGCGACTTGGTAGAACGCACCTAGTCCGAAGTCGTCTGGCATGGTAGTTGGCATGATTTCCAGCATCCGACAGTGGACTTGGTACATTTTCGAACGTTTCGCCGGAATCGTAGTCGGCATCATCAGTGATTGATACCATTCTCCGCACCGAGCCACGAAATCGTCAGAGACAATGGAAGTCAATCCTTCCACCAACGTTCTGCCGAAAACTGTTACACTCTGCCTGCTCTTTCTATCCTGGCCTGTCTGTCTACTCTTCACTCTCTCATCCAACTCCCGAACTATCACTACTTCTCACTTGTTTTCATTGCTAGGGCTGGAATTGGACAAGGGGGTAAAGAGTGTATAGATAGATCGGGACAGAAAGAGGAGTGATAGTGTAACCGTTTTCGGTGGAATGCTTGTCGAGAGATTGGCTTCACTTGTCTCTTGGACGAGTTGGCAGAATGGTACGGAAAATGGCAAAATTGGTTGATGATGTCGGTGAAACGTTGGAGAATGTACCTAGTCCACTGTCTGATGCTGGGAGGCATGACAACTAGTATGGGAGACGACTTCGGACTAGATGCGTTCTACTAATTCGCCCTGACAACCAGACCAAGTTGCGACGACGAGGTCAACCCACTTCTGTACATCGAACGGAGACTGCAACACCGTCTTGGTCGTCATATCTTGCGAGAACGAAGTCGAGCCAGAACAAGAAAGGCCAAAGTTAAATGGCAGCAAATGGCAAAATGCGTAAAATGTCATGTTTTAACTGGCAAAATTACTCAATTCCTTCGTGTCGCCTTGACGCATGCTGCTCTCCAAAAGGCGCCATTGGCGCTCTTTCCACGTGGAAGGGTCTGTCTCGCTCGTCCTTGTCCGGTCGCAATTGTCCACAAGTCGACGGGTGCCGATGCGGCGAAGGAGAGGCGTGCGGCTGTGGCTGGTGAAGAGATCGGCTGGGGCTGTGGCCAACTCGGCTCGGCTGGTGGCTCGGTTGTTGGGGCTGATGAGGTTGATGCGGTTGATGCGGTCCCGAAGCCTCCGGAGAGTGCTGAGCCCCATTCTGATGATGCTGTGGCTCCGGATGGTCCTGTCGAGGTCGGTGCTGGCAGTGCGCGCCACTCTGCACCGTAGCCATGTCAACAGAGCGTCCGAAGGAGGCAGTCGAAACGGGAGGTGGGGGGTGGGCAAGAGTGGCCATGGCGACGAGACGAACAAGAGCCTGAGTCAGGCTGGCCTGCGGAGAGATGGCGAGTCGGTCGAAGCGATGCAAACCGTTTCTGCAGCTGCTGAGCGTCTGGAAGCTGGTGCTTGATGATGCCGACGAGAGCATGCTTTGATAGGCCTCTGTGAAATAGAATGAAATGGAATGGAATAAAATAAAATAAA